GAGAGAGAGAGAGAGAGAGAGAGAGAGAGAGAGAGAGAGAGAGAGAGAGAGAGAGAGAGAGAGAGAGAGAGATTGATTGATTGATTGATTGATTGTGGAAGCGGTAAGTAGACTGAGAACAAGTGGATGTACATAACCACGTCACTCTTTCAGTAGGTTGTCGGATAGAAGCACATGCCACCGGGGTTGGGGGCGGGAGAGAGAGAGAGAGAGAGAGAGAGAGAGAGAGAGAGAGAGAGAGAGAGAGAGGGGGGAGGAGGATGGCGAGTGGAACTTGAAGGGATAATGTCACAATGCTGAATTCTCTTTGTGCTGTTAGTTATTCCCCTCACTCTCGTGAGGATCATGTACTTTTTCCATACGTGAATAAATAAATATTTAGGTTTTGTATGATCGAGCCTGTCGATAATGAGTGTTTTTGTTACACGGCAACAACTGGAATATTTGCTGTCGAATAACTCCAATTGGATTGAAGGCTGTTGGGTGTCGGGGACTTCAAAGAAAGGTCGATCGGTTAATTGAGGTGGCTTGCGAGGTTCAGGATGTAAGGAGCAGGACCCTGCGACTTCGCCAACTTGCATGGCACGTGCGGTCACAAGATGCTATCGCTCGTCGACCTAAAGGCGGAGTGTGCTTGACCAAGTTGGAACAACTACTCCGTGCGTGTCCCCTGTAGTCTTCTTCTCGACCTCAGACTCTCTCGATTTGATTAGGTGAATTTAGGTCCTTTCATTCAAAATCGCACGAGCTGAATTGCGCTCGGCGACTTAGCATCATCTGGCGTGTCTTTTCTTTTGTTTGATTCTTCATCTCTGTTCGTCTATTGGTGTCATTGTCATCGAGTGTCCGGGGAAGAGTTCTTGTGTCTCTTTCATCAACCCGATCCCGTCGCCTGCACACCCACGGTATTCTCAAGGTACTCGAGCCTCTGTTTGGCTTGATACCGACCGTTCCCTTTTTGGTAGGATGCACCACCATTGAATGTACCTGCCACACTCGAAACGATAGCAGAAGTAGACGGTGTACTAACGGGGGTAGTGAGTAAGGGGGTTTGAACCGGCACAATCGCAGAATTAGGTTGAGCAGGACGTGGATGAGGACACCATCTCACAAAATGACCAGGATCACCACAATTATAACAAGTACGAACGATAGTCAAAGATGAAGGTACATTAGACGCCATCGTTGAGAATGATGCAAAATGACAAAAGTCAACCGCGAGGTCAACAAAGTCGAAGCCACACAATCACGTAGTATAATTCCTAGGGAGGTTACTTTGTGAGCCGAAGTAGATTCGAATACAAAACAACTTCGCGAAATCATTCAATCATCAAGCGACATCAATAATCATTCATCTAGACACAGGGTAGACAAAGGAAGAAAAGAAAGAAGACAAGACCACTCAAAACCAGAGGGGCGAGGAAGAGCCTGAGAGACAATACGCATGGAAAATTCCCGAACGCGACGTTAACGAAAAATGAATCAATGAAGTACAGCAGTAATGATCCGACTAGTTTCAACTGGCCTGCTAACCAGTCCTCATCAGGGGTCTTGTCTTCGTTGCAAGTGTGAGTGAAACTCAACGACTTTGCGTATTTGTACTGGAGAACGAGACGCCAAGAGAGTCACACGGGGACAGACCGCCAG